TTTTAAAGCATTTAAAGAAAAAATCAGAATGAATAAGAATGAACCAATTGAATTATAGTTGAACTGATCAATCCAAATCCATTCAACATTCTAAATCTGTTCTCATTTAATTGTAATTCAAATCAAACCAGTAACCAGTCCTACAAAACTACATTAGAAAATATCTTTACAAAAGAACAAAATGGATATTTCTGTTAGGATTAATTCAAAATAATATTATTAAAAATATTTTGAGATTTCAAATTTATTTAGTGCAGATTTTCTGCATAGAATTTGATATTTTTGTTATTATGATTAATGATTTTTAGGAGTATTTTTAGGTATTATTTGATTCACTTGTAAGCCTATAAATATATTATTGGATTCACTTGAAAAGCCTATAGAGTAGGCACGGGAAATTACATTTTTTGTGAATCTAGTGAAGTACAAACATTATTAATCATCTTGTGCATTCCATTTTCCCCTTCCAAAATTTTTCAAACATGGTATCACGAGCCTATCGTTAAATGGCTACAAAACATTATATTTTCTTCCCCTCCAATTTTTGTTGGTGAAAATTATCAGCTATGGGCTGTTAAAATGAAAGCTTATTTACAAGCTTATGACTCATGGGAGCATATTGAAATAGAAAAAGAAATCCCTCCATTGCCATCCAATCCAACTATGGTTCAAATTAAGAATCATAGCGAAGAAAAAGCCAAAAAATTCAAAGCAAAAACCTACATTCATTCTTCTGTTTCGGATATAATTTTCACAAGTGTTATGACTTGTGAAATAGCAAAGGAGATATGAGACTCATTAAAAAATTAGTATCAAGGTAACAAGTAGACGAAATTGATGCAAGTTTTCAATCTTAAAAGAGAATTTGAGATGCAAAAAATGAAAACTCTAGAGGTGTCAAAGAATATGTTAATAATCTCATGTCCATTGCTAATAAAATTAGATTACTTGGTGAAGGATTTCCTGAAAGAAGGGTGGTTGAAAAAATTCTAATAAGTCTACCCGAAAAATTTGAGTCCAAAATTTCTTCTTTTGAAGACACAAAAAATCTTTCTAAAATTTCCGTTGATGAACTAACTAATGCATTACAAGCTGTGGAGCAACGGAGAGTATTTAGAGAAGATAATACTATAAAGGTTGCTCGTGTTGCCAAGACAATGAACAAATTTTTATCAAAAAGAGGAAAATTTCCACCATGTGGCATATGCAAGAAAGATAATCATGATGAAAATGATTGTTGGCATAATGGTAAACCTCAATGTTTTAATTGTAAGAAATTTGGTCATATTCAAAAAGATTGCAGATATAAAAATCAATCAAATTTTGTGCAAGAGGAAGGAATTCTTGATATAAATAATCATCAAATTTTGTGCAAGAGGAAAGGAATTTCTTTTTGAAGCATTGGAGAGATTGCTCCAAAGGAGAACCATTGGAGAGAAAGTGTTTTCCAGGAGAGAAAATCATTTGGAAGAGTTATGTGCTTCCAAAAAAATAAAAAAAAAAGTGATGAAAGAGGTGCAATCAATATTTGGCACAACAGAGAAAGTTACTCAAAAAAAAAAAAAAAAAAAAAGAGACAATAAAATTCATGTTGCTAGTTTGATGAGCAACGCTGCAATCAATATTTGGTGAGAATGTGCATCAAAAATGATAGTTGAGGAGAGTGCTTCAACAAAATCTAATTGAAGAGAGGTGCTTCAAAATGCTAGATTAAAAAAAATTTTAATTGTTAATTATTGTTAATAAAATATTATATTTGAATTAACAAAGAGAATGTTATGATAATTCAAAAAATATATTAAAAATATTGAGAGATTTCAATTTTATTTAGTGCAGATTTTCTGAATAGAATTTGATATTTTTGTTATTATGATTAATGATTTTTAAGAGTATTTTTAGGTCTTATTTTATTCACTTGTAAGCCTATAAATAGGCACGTTCTTTTGTGAATTTAGTGAAGTATAAAACATTATTAATCATCTTCTGCATTTCTATTTTTCCTTCCAAAATTTCAACAATTTCAATAAGAATGATGATCTCATATTTTCTTTATCTATTTCCTCTCCACTTCTCTCATACTTTTTTCCTATTATTTTATAACAATAAACGGTTTTGGTTTTCAATCGATTACAAGGAATTGGGACAAAACAAATTCCAACTACTCTTATTTTCAATAAAAATTAATTAATATAATTAAATTAAATATATAAATATTTTTATATAATTTAAATGGATCATTCAGTAAAATTGATTGAATAGAACAGAAATGACTAATGCAATTTTTAGAAAAACGGTTTAGTTTTAGTGTTAAAATAAAAAATTTTCAGTTTAATTAGATATTTATTATGTAAAATAAAAAACCACAAAAATCAAACTAATTTATTCTAAAAATTAAATTAAAAACATAAACAATCAAATTAAACCCATGCAATTTCATATAAAAGTTAGTTTGATTTGATTTTTTTTATATAAATTTAATTTATGAAATTTATACTTATTTGATTTAATTGGAATTAGATCAACCAAATGCTCAAGCGTGTAGAGGTGATAGTTTGAACCTGAATTTGAAGAATTGAGACCAATTGGTGGCCCAACTCATCTTTAAGGGATCAATTATAAATCTTCTATCCGTAATTTTGTTTCGGCTCCCTACCTCATTGGTATAATTTCATTTTAGAATTGGACGACCATGGATCTATCTTACAATATTAAAATGAATTATGATATGGGAATACGATTCGTCTAACGTACAAATTAGACGGATTAGGGTTGAAGCTAAGTAAATTTGCATCATAAACGAGTCGCTCGTTTATGACTGAATTTAAACGGATTGTATTACACGAATTGACTCTTATTAGGTGGATGACTTGTCAAAAAATAAAAAAATAATTTTATATCCAATGTGTGTGTGTATATATATATATATATTATATATAATATATATATATATTATATATATCTAACAAAAGAAAAAAAAAAAAAAAACTGAGCCCTAATTTTTCTACCATCTCTTCTCTAAAAAAACTGAGCCCTAATTTTTCTACCTATCTCTTCTCTCATGCTGCACCTTACACACTCAAAAATCAAATCCAAACTCAACCACCACTCACCGTCGCCAAGCTCCACCGCCTTACCATTGCTGAGTTCCACTGCCGCTTGATCGATTAATATCCTTGCATAGGTCTAGGATGTGCCTTCAAATGGTTCTATTTTCAACTGCACCAAACTGTAAAATCGAATAGCCGAAGTTTTATATTTTTGAAAACCGTTCTAGAATAAAGAATAAAAATCGAACCACACCATAATTTTTGGTTCGGCTATTCGAACTTCCACATTTTTTTGTTTCATCTATAAACGAGATGCTACTCCCAGTCTCCCACACATTAATATAAATTTATGATGTGTGCACTACATGCAACCATTTTACTATCTTTTACTTCTTCTTTAGTATAATTTTAGTGATTTAAAATAAGACAAAGTTAGTTTAGCTTGCATTGTACATATTCTGAATTTGTCTTGTTTTTAAGTACAGGTCTCACCTTTTTGAGAGAATAATTCTAAAGCAGGGGCCATTTTAGAAATTTCGACCATCCACAATAGGAACTAATAACGATGATTTTTACTGTCGACACACCAGCTGTGCTTTATTTCTCAGAGAGTCAAAAGAACTTTGGTCAAATACACGGTCAGTCCACTGGCTGTGTATTTTACACCATTAAGTCAAAAGCAAACTTACGCCTAGGCAACTGGCTGTGTAATACCTGACCGCCTGTATAATGAGCCGTGAATTTGGCATAGTGGAAGACACACATATAGAAGCACAACCGGAGCACCGACCATATATTTTTCTAATCTGACAAATTGAAAGCAAGAGAATAGGTTGAACATCTTTTTCAAATGCCTTTGCGGATCTTTTTTTGAGCTATAAGAAGAGGAAGAGGAGACATAATGAGAATCAAGAAGGCTAAGGAGCAATTCAAATTAAGAGGGGCATAGAATTGGGATTAGCAAAGGATCCACTCCATAGTTAGCAACTGAAATAAGACTTCAATCTTAGTTTTCTTTTATGGACAAGGATGTTTTAAGAGTTACCAACTCTTCTTAATCTTTTGCTTTGTAATTTGAATATGAGTAGTGAGTAGTTCCCTTAGCTAGTGTTGGGTGAAAACCCACTTGAGCAACGACTATATAATCATTTCTCTTTATTTAAATTTAGTAGATATTTTCTTGATTCTTGTGTGTGTGTATATACTTAATGCTTATAAATATGATAGAGCTTCATATTTGCATGAAAAGAAATAAGAGTATGAAGGACTAGAAGGTGATGTTCCTTATTGGACTTACCCACACATGAACCTAAGAGATAGACGTGGAAATGAGCTTTTCCTTTGAGATATGAGGAGCATCAAGGAGATTAATGGGCTGGAATCATCATTACACCATGAAAGTAGGTGATCTTATGATTCCAGCACGTTTATGTTATTTGGAAGAGGATAGAAATATAAATGGATTTCTCTCCCCTTCAAAATGCATCTCTTAATAGATTGAAAGTGAAAATTTCATACCATAAAGTTGTTCAATGGTGTTTATCCCAACACTAGTATCTTCCTTAATTTGATAAACACAAATTTAGTGTACTCTTATTCTAATCAGTAGTTATTTGCTTGTTTTGCATTTAAATTAATTAGAACTAAAGGATTTTCATCTAATTTCTAAATAATACAATTTGGATTTAAAAGCTAATATTCAGTCTCTTATCCCCGATGACGATATTTTTAATATATTACTTGTACAATCCATACACTTGCAGAATCGCTAACAATTTAACTCAAATTAAATATATTCTATTACGACTTATGAGACACAATATTAAAGTAATTTATGTTTAATCGGTTAAGATGCCATTTAATTGCATTAAATTAAATTTCAACCACATTTGAAGTGTTCAAATCAAGATGCTACTCCTACGCATAGATACAAAGTGTAAGAAAGTTGATTGAAAATAAACTACCAAAAAGCAAAGCCAAAGATCCATTGCAAATCTAAGCTCTTCTTTCTCTTTTCCCCAATTTTTTTTTTTTTTTAATCTCCAACATTGTAAAGCGGCATGGAAAAATGTGGAAGAAGCATTACAATATGGTTTGCTTTCCTTTTCATCGTTTTCTACCTTGAAATTGTTTTAGCGGGTGGGGATGGAGGACAAAACCTTCCTCCCAACTCCCAACAAAAGCCATCTTTTGCAAAAATTGTCAAAGAAACACTTTCCAAATTGAAGAAATCTCATGTAAATTCTTGGGATAAAATTAAAACCATCGTCCATGACGTTCATTTGAAGTTTTTTCCTCCAAATTTAGAGTAAGTTCTCAAGTTTACATAATTATTTCCTTTTTGCTTTATTATTTTGAGTTGGAATTATAATTCCCAAATTTCATGGTTTATTGGATACCTATTTATTTCTATTTTTTTTATAATTTTATATTTGAAATTTAAATTTAAATATGCATTTATTTTAAGTGACTATTTATTCAAATGGATTTTTATTGATTTTTAACACTTCTTGATTTAATATATCACAAACTTTGCACATTTTTTTTTTCAATTATGTAATATTGATTCTGAGATAATTGGAAAAAAAATTGTAAATGTATATATGTGACTTGTTAATTTAAAAAATGATTATGATTGCCCCTTCTCATTCGCTAGAATTAGTAAAATGATGACATATTTAAAAACATGCATTTAAGCAATTCTCAAATTCCAGTCCTTCCGACCATAATTGTTTTCACTAATTTGCTAAGTTAGGAGAAGGATTATCACTGTTGTATAGCCCGCAATGTTATTTAATTGGACCTCTGATGAATTAAAAAAAAAACCGAAAGAAAACCTCGTTTACCTAAATCTTTAAATCATGTTATATCAATTTAATTGTTATCTTAGTATGAGCAAATATTTTATACCCATTGCATGAATAATCAAAATAAAATTGTAACTTGTAAATCAAATTCGCAAATTGAAATATAACATATAATAAAAAGTGCAAATAATACAATTACTTTTTTTATATATATAATTGAAAAATTAAAATTATGAAATTATTTATTTTTTCTGGGGGTAAGTTTTAGGAGTGGAGCTCAAGAAGCAAAGGAAAAGAGCACGGAGGATGGCCAAGGCGGTGGCACTAAAGAAAAGATGAAAGAGGCGGCTGAGAAAAGTTTCGAAACGATAGAGATGACAGCTGAAGAATCTGCAAAATCTGCTGCAAATGTAGCGGGAGAAGCAATGCACAAGGTAGGAGATAAACTATCTCATGATGATGAAGAGAAATCTCGTGATCGCGAAGAGCTTTAAATTTAAAATTTTTATTTTTAATGTTTTAAACCATTAATTTCCTTTAAACATGTAGCAAGCTTTCATTGTACTTATGTTTTGTTTTCTGGAATAGATCACCAATAATTTAGTACATGAAATTGATTCTTATGTTTTAAATTTGTCTCTTTTTAGATTGTATTCCGCATCTTATATAGCGTTTGAATTTGATTTTATAGTATAAGGTAGCGTTTTATAAAAATAGTAATAATTATTAAAATAATTAATTTTTCTAAATATGCTTTTAGGATTAACAAATAATTTTTTTCATATTTGAACTCTACGGGATACAAAACTAATAAAATACTGTAGCACATCTAATGAATTAAACTGAAAGGACTTATAAGCCAAAAAAATTTGGTAAAAGTTTTTGTAAATTTAAATTGTTCATATTTGGTATAAATGAAAATTTATTTTAAAAATTTTGTAAGTTTAATTTCATGGAATTAGTTATATTTGAACTAAATTTTACAAAAATTTATAGAATTTGCAAATGAATTCTAAATTGAGTGAATTACTAGTCTCCGAACGATACTCAAATATACTAATATGAAACTCTATTTTAGAAATTAATTATATAGTTTGTTGATTTTTATATTCAAATTTAATTGTACAGTATTGATTTTTACACTCGTTGCATTGTTTAAGCATTTAGTCCAAGTCATAGTTATTAAGAAGGACTACTTAGTACAACAATAACAAATCAAGATTATATAATAAAAATCTAAAAATAGAGATGATAAGTCGTTTTAATCCCGATAAGAGGAGAAAAAATAAATTCAATCCTCTGAAAGGCCACGTATTGGGAGCGCCAAAAACATCTATACACTATGGTCTGAAAAGAGTTTTTTTTTTTTTTTTTTTTTTTTTTTTTTTTTTGAAAAGGAAAGAGATCCTTCTTTATTACGAGTAAAACTCAGAAACACAAGAAGGGATTGAATCCCAAATCCGAAAACAAGCAAAACAAATGGATGCTTTTGCAAGATTATGAGCCCCCAAACTAGCTTGCAGCCTAATCCACTAGACCTTGTTATCAGGCCTATTTGCTAAAATAGCTTTGCAGCCTGAAATTAACAAACCAAATTAACAAAAATCTAAAGAGTTGGAGTTAACAGTAGTAACAAGTTGCTGGCAGTACGTAAAAATGGACCCTGCAAGAGGAAGCTGATGCTCAGCAAACACAAGAGCATGACGAAGAGTAACCGCTTCAACAATTACTGGTGCAGCGTTGCCCACTTGATGCCCAGAAACAGTTCTATCAAAAAAACCTTCTTCATTCTCCACAATGAAACCAAGCCCATCACATCTGCAGCGGGAAAAGAGGCTCCATCAACAAAAATTTTCCATATGGAATGTTTGTCTGCTGGACCTGAGTTAGTAGCTTGCTGAGGGAGTCCATGTTGAGCAAGAGATCGAGACACCTGACGGGTTGCTTGGGAAGCTTTCCATTCATGCATGTAAAGGCCAGCAGCTTCATTAACTTGTTGAGGGTTGCTCCACTACTGAGACCAAAGGAGATCGTTCCTAGAACACCAAAGCTTACAAGCATAAATAGTAAATAATTCTGCCGCCTCCTTACCTTTGTAATAGTAAACCTGCAAAAAGAAAAGTGAGAAAGAAAAATGTGGTTGAGGAGCTCCAAAACCACCAAGCCTCCAAACATTAAGAGCCCGATCACAATGCACCAACATATGGTCACTCGTTTTCTCCAAACTACAAAAAAGACAATCTCCACAAACCTCCACTCCCCTGCTTCTCAATTTGATCCTAGTAGGAAGAACATCTTCCATACTTCTCCACATAAAATCCCTTATTTTAGGTGGTACATTAAGCTTCAAATTAAAGGCCAAAATTCCCTGCAGTTACTATCATGTTCTCCCCCCAAAGCCCTCAGCCCCACATAGTAACCCGTCTTAACGCTATAGACCCCTTTTTTATCAAAGTGCCAAACAAGAGTGTCCCTCCTATTAAAAATGCTTAAAGAAATACCGATAATAGCTCGAGCATCTCTAACACTAAACAAATTTAGGATTCTGTCAATATCCCATTTTTTCTCACCTGGTATAAATAAATCACAAACTCTAACATCCCTAGGATTAAACATATCACCATCCTTCGCTATAAAGAGTCACTCTTAGGAATCCAAGGGTCTATAGAAGCCACAATATCCGAACCATCCCCCACGCACCACCTTACCTATGTTTTAAAATGATACTAGAAGACAACACACTCTTCCAAATGAAGCTAGGGTTACTACCCAAAGAAGAATTAAGAAAATTGTCATCCCGAAAATATTTGACTATGAAAACTCGAAACAGAAGAGTGTTAGTGTCAGATAATAACCGCCACCCCTGTTTTCCTAGCATAGCAAGATTAAATCAATGGAGATCACAGAAACCCATCTCACCATCCTTCTTATAGCTATGACAGTGATTTTCGCAAGTATACGAAATCGCAACAAGTAATATAGAGTGAATAAAGTATCGTCTCCATAGGGATTGTGTATTATTATTATTTAACCAAAATTATGTTAACCTATTATTATTTAAATGGCAATAAGGGAGAATTATTGTAAAAAATAAATACTTAAAAGAGAACGAAAAAAAATAACTCAAGCAACAGTATTTGAAGAAAAGAAATCAAGGATTTTAAAAGTACGAAAAAAAATAACTCAAGCAACAGTATTTGAAGAAAAGAAATCAAGGATTTTAAAAGTACTAGGGATTTTGATTTCACTTAATTCTATCTAATTTATGTTATTAGTTTGCAAATCAATTTTAATTGTTCAAGTCGAAGAAACAACCCAAGAATCACTAACAATCTTTCTCAATGTTTTGTTATAATCTAATCCAATTTAATTACCTATCTTCTAATAGTGTAATCAAACATGAATTAAATCATTAAGTTTTGTGGTTTGTTTTGTGAATTCATGACCTAAGGTCATTAACTTATGAAAAACCCCCCATGAGTCAAACCATATAGCATATACTTTCTCATCAAGCTATTATTCTCATTGTAATTATTTACCTTTTCATATCAAAAACCCTTCTCCATAAATGATAATGGAAATTACAATTTAAATCCAGGGGAAAAACTCTGTCTGGAACGCTTAAGTTCAATAATTAAATTATACTGTTGAAGTCTGGAAGCATTAAGTTCAATAATAAATTATACTTTGAACAAAGAAAAACAAATCTAATATTATAAATTGGAAAAAAATTCAAGCTACATCAAATCCCTAGTATGAGGATTTAGTTCGACATAGTAATTAAATAAAATTCAATAATACTTGAATAAAATTTCATAATCAATGTGAACAATGAAAAGTAAAACAAGATTAAAAGTTTAGAAGTAAAAACTAGGCAACAGATATGTGGACAACTTCCTTAAATCTTGCCACGAATCTTGAATGCTTGAAGTCTTTTAGAGAGAAAAGAAACAATGTGCACAAATTATCAAAGACCGGAGATCCCCTTTACATGAATGGCCCCTCTCTTTATATAGATTTCTTGGAAGAAAATCTGACTTCGTTTAGGAAATAGAATCCTTATTTAGTATGAAATCTTTTTGGAGATATGAAACTAATTAGGCTTTGGATTTCTTCTCAATTAAGACTTTTCCATCTTCCTAAATAGGATTAGATCTTCATTTGCATGTCAGGAAAATATCTGAGGTGGGCCCATGTAAGTTATAAACTGGCTAGCGTTCTTAATTCAAGATAGCATCAAATTCGTAGCACGGGCGTGCTATTTTTGCACGGTCTGGGCATGCCAGGGCCTGAGTTTTATGGATGGCTCGGCACGGGCCATGCTGCGCAACACGTCCAGAGAAGAATCTGTGGCACGGGCGTGCCCCATACCATGCTGCGCAACACGTCCAGAGAAGAATCTGTGGCACGGGCGTGCCCCATAGCACGGCCAGGGCGTGCTAGGCTCTGTCTCTCCAGGATGAAATGCATCATGAGCGTGCTTTAAGCAAGCACACCCTGAGGTTTTTTTAGGCATGGGCGCGCTAGATAGCACGGTCTGGCCGTGCTAGAGTCTGAGTTTCCACTTGATTTTCCTTAAGTTCAGCACGGGCAAGGTGTGCTAGGGCCTGAGTGTTTTGCTTTATTTTGCTCTTTTCTGTGCCAAAACCCTGCAAATTTTCTTTAAGATTCAAGTGATATGATTCAAGGAGCTCCTTGAACAAAAACATAAATAAAACAAAGAAAAAATTAGTTAAAAGGATTAAATACCTTAAAATTCCCTAATAAAAACTATATTAAAAACACTATAAAAATAACACCTATCAAGCTACTCATCCGTTTTCAAACAAACCAGTTAATCTCGAAACCTACCTTTTTCGCCATCCAACAAAACCCGATTCATCAAGACCTTGCAGTTCTCGCATAGAATAGACAATTGAAATCATCAAACTACCACCCATTTCACAATTACCAGAATGACGATTTGCTTGAGCACTACTAATACAGAACTTTCCCTTACACTCCCTCTAGATAAGAATCCTTATTATTATTCCTCATCCATTAAGCTTCTGCATATCAGCCTATTCTTCTTAAATAAAACAAAGTAAAAATTAGTTAAAAGTGATTAAAATTACTAAAATTCCTAATAAGAACTATATTAAAAACACTATAAAAATAACACCTATCAAGCTACTCATCCTTTTCCAAGACAACCAGTTAATTCCTCGAATACCTACCTTTTTCCCATGCCAACAAAACCGATTCATCAAGACCTGCAGTTCTCGATAGATAGACAATGAAATCTCAAAGACACCCATACAATAAGAAGAGATTGCTTGAGCCACTGATTTAATAAGAACTTCCCTACCCGCTCTAGATAAGAATCTATTATTCCATCCATTAAGCTTCTGCTATAGCCTATTTTTCAAAAAAACTAAAAATTTGCCTTTTATTACACCCAATGAGAGAGAGAAGCCTTAAATATTTACCATCACCTAAGCGATCTTGCACACCCAAATTATCACAAATAGCACTATATAGATCATTGTTAACATTAGGGCTAAACATGATACCAGATTTTTGAAAGTTAACAGCTTGCCCCGAAGCCTACTCATATTCCAAAAGGATCCCCTTAACCCGAGAAGCCTCCAAC